GCACAACCGCTTAGGCCATGTGAACATGAAGTTAATTCGAGAGTTGGCAGCCAGCAAGGCCGACTTCGGTGTTAAGATCAATGCGAATTCGCTTTCTGCCTACGACTGTGTACACTGCATTACTGCTAAGCTTAAGCGCATGTCCTACAAACGTAATCCAGAACGTCGTAAACACCCGCTGAAGAAGCTCTCTGTGGATCTTTGTTCCGTCGGCGACGAGAGATCACGGGTGAAACGATGTTCTTGTTGGTAGTGGACGAAGCTACGCGGTACAAGTGGTGGTATCTACTTGCAAACAAAAACGATGCAGAGGACAAGATCAAGACTTTGATTCTAAGACTTAACAATAAGTTCAAGAGACAGTCGCGCTCGGTGGTCACGCTGCATTCAGACCAAGAAGGCGAATTCCTGAGCGGCAAGACTGAAAGACTTCTGCGAAGAGCTTGGCATCCAGAGTGAGAACACCAACTCTTATTATCCTGAGGAGAATGCTATCGTCGAGCGAGCGAACGGACTCGTACTACCGCGACTACGTTCTGTGCTACATGCTGCACGTCAGACCGATTTGTTGTGGGGAGAAGCTCTCCTCCATGTCGTGGACATGGTGAGCCTGCTACCTACAGCTGCGCTGGATGGTAAGTCACCTTTTGAAGCTCTATACGACAAGAAGCCTACGCTCCGGTACCTGCGAACCTGGGGTTGCTTGGTGCACTCGCACATTCCGAAGAAAAGGACGTCTACCCGAGACAAACTCGACCCGTGTGCTGAGTTGGCTCTTTTCCTCGGCTACTCTACAAACACGAAAGGCTACAAGCTGCTGAATTTGAAGACCGGCTGCGTCATTCAAAAGCGAAGTGGAAACGTGTTGTGTCATGAGAGATTTACTGCTGCTCAAGCCTACGTGAAGCAGCTACTGTTGAACACCTACAAGGATGGTAACGCCGACTTACCTGATGAGATTCCGGTAGTGCCGATCGTGAACTCGCTTGAAGACCGTCTCTTTCCCGATGCCGGAGATCCGCTGCGATCGTCCGTATTGCCGAATGCTGGAAGACTTGATAAACAGACCGAGTAAGTAGCCAGTCCAGAGCAAGTGGGAGAGCAAGACGTACCCGCTCAGCTGTCGATGACGCCGTCCAACGCTTCTAAAGCAAGCTGCTTGAAGAGATCTGCTGCGCAGACAAAGACTAGAACGGCAAGCCGATTAGTGAAACGGAAAGCAAATGACAACGAAGCATACACACCTTCAAAGAAGCTGCCTGCAGTTGCTACTGCAGAGCCAAGAGCAAATATTATTCGCCGCGCGAAGAAGCTGCCTGCTCACCTGAAGGAGTACATCGTTGGGTCAGTCATCAACTCGAAGCAAGATATTCCAATCCCTACCACTTACAAACAAGCCAAAAAGAGCAACTTCTGGCCGGAGTGGGAAGTAGCCATGAATGACGAGCTGACGTCGCTGCGCCAGCATGGGACCTGGAAGCTTGTATCGAGAACCAAAGCCAAGTCGCAAACTGTAATCACAAACAAATGGGTGTACACGGTTAAACGAGATGCCCAAGGACGAATCAAGAGATTCAAGGCGCGTCTTGTCATTCACGGCTTTAAACAAAGCTTTGGTGTTGACTATCTGGAAACCTATGCCCCAGTGATCCGATTCGAGACCATCAGAGCTGCTATTCTCTACGCTAGGAAACGTGGCTGGGATGTCTACCAATACGACGTGAAAACTGCTTTTCTTTACGGTCGATTGGAGGAACGAATCTACATGGAGATACCTGCTGGATCTACTGAAGGATTACCTGGAGGTGAAATGATTTGCCAACTGATCAAGTCACTGTATGGATTAAAGCAAGCTCCTGCAGTATGGAACAAGACGTTGCACGACTTTCTGGTGGACCTCGAGTTCACACGACTTGACAGTGACTATGGAGTCTATGTGAAATACAACAACGATGAGGTCGACATGCTGTTGACCGTCTACGTTGACGACCTACTGCTAATGGGACCAGCGGCGCTGTGTACCAAGGTTGCTGCGCAACTAGAAGCCAAATTCACATTGACTAGCATGGGCGAGGCAAAATACCTGCTTGGGATCGAGATTACTTTGGACGCTATCAACAACAAGGTAATCTACAGTCAACGATCTCATATTGACAAGCTGTTAAAGAAGTTTGGACTGGCTAACTCCTACGGCTGCTGGACACCTCAAGCGACGACTGAATCCAGAGCTCAAGCCAAGGACCAAGATAAGCCTGTCGACATGCCTTACCGTGAATTGATTGGAGGATTGCAGTATCTTGTATCCGGATCGCGACCGGATATTGCTCACGCAGTCCGTCATCTTGGGAAGTATCTGTCATGCTACACAGAGAGCCATTTCCGAGAAGCCCAGCGGGTGCTGCGTTACCTGCTGCAGACACGAGACTACGCATTGCACATGGATGTAGTGCTCGGCACGGACGTCTGTATTACTGCGTTTACGGACTCCGACTACGCGAATGATCCTGATGATTCCAAGTCAGTCTCTGGCTACGTGACCCTACTTGATGGAAACGTCATTTCCTACGCTTCAAGAAAACAGGGTATCAACGCCCAGTCGAGCACGGAGGCGGAATACGTTGCGATGAACGAAGGAGTCAAGGACATTCTGTGAATCGTGGATTTGTGTGAGGAACTGAAGTGGCCTGCGGCCACACCACTGCTGCGCGGTGATAACCAGGCGGCGCTGTACCTGACCGAGAAACCTGGAAAACATTCAAACACAAAACACATTCGCAACAAGTACCACCTTATTCGTCACATGGTCGAAGACGGCAAATTGAAGACACTGCATGTGCCCACCAACGATAACACGGCTGACATCATGACCAAGCCACTTGCACGTGCCAAATTCAGCCAGTTTCGCGACCAGCTGAAAGTGATGCCTATCAGCCTGCCCTCATCTGCTGCTACTGCTTATGCAGCACTAGCTACAAACGCTGAGGAATGCCAAGACGGTGTGGACGAGTAATGGTAAACGTTGTATTACTGAAGCCTCAAGCTATGCTGATTGCTCAAGCTACGGAGACCTGCTGCGATCAGGTGCCTCCGGTTCCTGTTAAGATCCTGCGTTGATCTTACAAGTGCTGTCCGCCCTCGACACTTGCGAAGCCTCGACGCGCGTCGAGTGCGAGTGGGAGTGTGAGATACCACGCTGGGTATGCTGCACTACCAGAGAGGAGACCAGCGTTGGAGCGCCGCTGGCGCCGCCGAAGCCCAGCCTGGAGGCACTGGAGAAGCCACTTGAAGCTGGTGCGCCGCACCGCTCAGCGTACCGGAACGGGACGCTGCGCTGTCCCAGCTTGCTGCGATTATGCAGGCGCTGCCTGCTGCTGAAGCCGTCCTGCGGACGGAACCCCTGCCGTTGCTGCCGTTGCACAGGCGCTGCCCGTTGCAGAGTTTGTCCTGCGGACAAGACACCTGAGTGCTGCTGCGCACACTCAACGACCAGCATAAGATCAGCTAAAGAGGGCTCTAACAGTAATATAAACATACGGGTTGCGAGGGTATGGCGAAGGTGGAGTGCGCTGCGCGCACTCGGGGCTCCTAGAGTCTCACTTCCGAATCCACCACTGCGCTGCCAAGCCCCTCAAGTCCCTGTAAGGCTTCTGCCTTGCTACTCCGGTGTCCGTAGGCGTTCTTCCTTTTCTCAATGCAGAACGACGGACAGGACGAGTCGTCGGAGCCTGCCGGCTCCCCGAACCGTACCACGTCTCAGCTCACGCGCATCTAGCGTTCTGACAGCGGAAAAATATGCCCGTGCGCGCTATGCCTGGGACTTTATTGTGGTGCGCTTTGTGCCCACTCTGGAGCTCTGGTTGCAGAGATATCGGTCTGTAAAGGAATAAATAGTTATTTTTTCTTTAAAAAACTCGAATGTGTGATTGGTCAAAGCCCCTTTTATCCATATGATTGGTTAAAATATGTACATTTAATTATTTGTAAGCATCAGTTATTTATAGCTTTAAATGACAAGGCTTAAAGCTCATTTTCCTCTTTCGCTAGTATATTTTTTAAGTTTTTATTCCGCTTATTTTCGCGAAAATCCAAAGGCGACCAATACTTCTTAGGACTCTTCTGTAGATCGCCGTTACCTCGACTTGTGCAGCGGAAAGGTGTCTAGCTTGCACCCTTGACACTTGACAGCCTAAGAAATACCACCTATAGAACAATTGGCCTCAGATTGTCGAAATTGTCTATCTCGTGCTTAACTGCTGCCAGCCTCTTCATTCATCAACTTGCAACGTGAAACTCACCATCAGGACTCAACATGCGCACCTCGTTTGGCATCGCCTTCACTCTCATTGCCACCAGCTTCTTCTGTGTCCATGGTGCCATTGCCACCGGTGGCCTGCGTGGTGCAAACGACGTCGGATCGGAGGAGCGCAAACTCGATCAACTCGATGGCTCTGGGTCTGCTAGCTCGATTGTTTGGGTTAATGGAAGCAAGGCCGAACCAGAGAAGCGCAAATACGTAGATTACCACCATGGCCACCAACAAAAAGTCTGCCAGATCAACTGTCCGAAGAACTGCTGGTATGTCGATGTCTTTGACAACTAAGAGATTTTCAAGAGGACTGAACGAAGTAAGACTGACGACTTAAACATCGTGTTGAAGTGAAGCTATGGAAGAAAAAGTTAGGTGTAATATGGAGTGTGTGCTAAGTTTCGACTCTAAATCTGCTCAAATATTCCCCCGCTTTAGTGTCGCCCAAGCCAACTATTTTTAGAATATCGTACTTAAAACAATTGCCTAAATCCGATCTCCCCTTTCCGCTATAAAAAGCCCGTTCATACTCGAAGAGCTGTGCGCTAAGCTTAGACCCTCGTGGCGTTGCTGTATCGTCGGTTAGCTTCACTTCCGGCCCCCCCCCTAGAGCGAGCGCAGTCGTCGGTGGTCATTATCTCCCTGTTTATTGAATTTGCCGCCCTACCAGCTGTGATCTAAGCGCTCAAACATCATGAAGTGGCTCCGCTCGGCCGAGATGGAGTACATCTCGCTCATTGTGAACGAGGACGCGGCCCACGACTGCGTCCAGAAGCTGGGCGACCTGGGCGTCTTGGAGTTCACGGACCTGAACCCGGAGCTCACGCCGTTCCAACGCCGCTACGTAAACTACGTCAAGCGCTGCGACGAAATGGAGCGTAAGTTGCGCTACTTTGAGGTGGAGTTGGCCAAATTCAGCATCTCGCCGAAGCCTGCGGGCAGTATCGACCAGTTCCTGGCGGGCTCAGCTGATATCCGCTACGGCTCGCAAGACACGGCAGCTAGAGCGTTGGATACACTCGAACGACTTCTGGAAGACAAGGAACAGGAGCTGCTGCAACTTAACTCGATGCACGAGAAGCTTACGAGAGAGTACAACGAACGCAAGGAGCTTCAGGAAATTATCTCGCGAGCTGGCGAGTTCTTCGAGATCGAAAGTGCGGTGTTATTTTTCTAATTGCTATTGTTATATTTCTAACGTATTGTCATTTTCTACTGTCATTTTTCCATAGTTCCGGAAGTCCAAGCGCGTCGCACGTCTCGTACGACCTCAAGATCCGGCTACAGCTTCGTGGAGACGTCTTCTGGCGTCCCAGGAGGCGAGGAGTCGTCGTCGCTGCGTTTCCACAATGTCACGGGCGTGGTTCCTGCCGATGAACGTCTTAAGTTCGAAAGGATGATCTTCCGTACTACACGTGGCAACTGCTTCACGCGCTTTTTGCCCATTGAAGAGCCCTTAGTGGACCCCACGAACGGCCAACCAGTGACCAAGCACGCGTTCGTCATCTTCTTCCAGTCGAATTTTATCGAGACCAAGCTCCGTAAAATCTGCGACGCCTTCCACGCCCGACTGTACTCGTTGCCGCCCATGGACGACCGTGCGGCCATCGCGCACTTGATCCAAAGTAACGCCGGAGAACTCAACCAAAGCAGCCACATCTTACGTCGCAATAGAGAGAGCTGCGTGCTGCTCTGTCGTGATCTAGCCGAGACGTTGGAGTCCTGGAAGTGGTCGGTGCTACAGGAGAAGGCCACGTACCATGCGCTCAACATGTTCCGTGCTGACGTCAGCGGTATGTTACGTGCAGAAGGCTGGGTCATTAAAGAAGCGCTGCCCAGTGTGCGTCGTGCCGTCACTCGCGCTCACGCCGCAGCCGACGACAAGTCCATGCCGTCACTTGTGGATACAGTAGCTAAGCCCTGGCCCGTCCCGCCGACTTTCTTTGAGACCAACAAGTTCACAGACGCCTTCCAATCCTTCGTGGAGACCTACGGCTGTCCTCGCTACCGTGAAGTGAACCCGTCCGTGTTCACTGCCGTGACGTTCCCGTTTCTGTTTGGCGTCATGTATGGAGATATCGGCCACGGTTTCTGTGTGCTGCTCTTTGGTCTGTATTTGATCCTGACGGAGCGGAAACTGGAGCAACCAGGTAGTATGGGGGAGATGGCGGTGTCTATCTACGGAGGACGCTACATGCTGTTCATGATGGGCGCCTTTGCCATGTACGCAGGGCTCATCTACAACGATTTCTTCTCGCTGCCGTTGAATTTATTCGGCTCCAAGTTCGCGTATCCGGATTGTCTGGAATCGCACGACCGAGAGGCCAAATGCGTGGCGCAGTATCTGATTGACGGCAAGATGACGTACGTGAACGCCACGGACGTGTCGGCGGGCGACAACGTGTACGCTATGGGGCTGGATCCCGTCTGGAAGACGTCGTCGAACGAATTACTGTTCTTTAACTCGTTCAAGATGAAGATCTCGGTCATTTTCGGCATCATCCAGATGACGTTTGGCATTCTGCTCAAGGGCTGGAACAATTTGTACTTCCGAGACTACTCGACCTTCTTCTTCGAGTTTGTGCCGCAGATTGTGTTCGCCGTCTCGCTCTTTTGCTACATGATCGTGTTGATCGTCATGAAGTGGAGTATCAACTGGACGGAGCGGATGAAGCACGAAGTGTGTCCGTACAACTACGCGGGCGAACACACGGGCTGTCGTCCGCCGTCGCTGGTGAACACGCTGATCAACATCGCCTTGGCCCCTGGTAGCGTCGTGGACCCCTTGTATGAAGGTCAACTGGAGACCCAGCAGACGCTGTTGATGATGGCCTTCCTGTCGGTGCCTGCTATGTTGCTAGTCAAGCCAATCTACTTGAAGATCCAGAACGACCGCACGGCGCCGCCTGTGAACCACCACGTGGACTTTGACGACGAAGCAGAGGAGCGTCTGGTGTCTCATCACCATGGCAACGCCGGTGGAGGCCATGGAGGTCATGGCGGGGAGTTTGAGTTCGGGGAAGTGGTGATCCATCAGGGCATTGAGACGATCGAGTTTGTGCTGGGAATGGTGTCGAACACGGCGTCGTATCTGCGTCTGTGGGCCTTGAGTTTGGCCCACTCGGAGCTGGCCACTGTCTTCTGGGAGAAGACGATGCTGTCGACGATCAATAGTGACTCGTTCATCGCCATCTTCATCGGCTTTGGTGTGTTCGCAGCCACGACGTTCGGTGTCATTCTGGCGATGGATGTGCTCGAGTGTTTCCTTCACGCTCTGCGTCTGCACTGGGTGGAGTTCCAGAACAAGTTTTACAAGGCCGACGGACACAAGTTTCACCCGTTCTCGTTCAAACAGACGATTAAGGACTCGCAACAGGTCTAGACGACTGGAAAAGAAAAGCAAGACCTGACCTGAAAAAAAAAATACTTGACCAGATACCTGATCAAGAAAAAAAAAATAAGAAGACGAAAAGCAGATTTAAGGAGGGTAGGAAGAAAATCTGCAGTGCATATGGAAGCGTGCCTTCCCATTTTATAATAGGACTTGTTGGCAGTGCTTTCTGCAACTTAGTTTTTTACTTGGTAGACTTGGCTGCTTTCCTTTCGGATTCTCTATAAGCAACATAAGCTCATTAGCGTTCCAGTTTGTCTTCTTAATAGGATAAAGACGCTTACATTTGCTGGTACTGGTTGCGTAGATTGCTGCTGGCGCTGAGGTCCTGTACACGTTCGAGCGCCTTGGTGTCTGCGTAGAGATAGCCGGCGCCGGCACCAATGAGGCTGCCTCCAACAATGGCGAGGAATTGCACTCGTCTTGGGAATGGACCAATAGCTGGGATGAAGAAAGAAGCAGCAAGAGTTAAGAATTCGTAGCAGAAACTGTCGCAAGAGATGGTCGACTACCGGTGACACTGGCGAGCACAGCGCCGCCTAGCGCGCCTCCCACGCCTGAGCAGTACTCGATATCGCTCCGTCGTCGGTCGTACCAGACCTTCTCCTCCAATGTGAGGCGCTGCGGGGCGCGAGCGGCGTTGGTCTTGTCGGCTGGCGCGGAGCTCATGATGGCAAAAAACTGTGTCGATGACGTACTACCGGTAATGTGAGGATGTGAGGTGCATGTTCCTAAGTTGCGATAAGCAGAATTTAAGATGCTTATTAGGCTGCAGCAACGTAAGAAAAACATTTATTTCGAATCTCAGCAAATTAAAGATTACCATCAAAAGGTGAAGTATAACATTCCTGGCAACCAAGGTGTCAGTTGCCGACTGGTTCTGGAGCAGCACATGGCGGCGAGATGGCTAGTGGTGAGTCAGCGCTGGCGCCATGACGAGCATCCCGCTTAGACGAGTTGACGGCGATGTTGCTTGCCTCGCTCCAGTCGACAAAAATCCACGGCATAAAAACTTGTGTCCAGTTGGTAGCATCAACTTGTCCGCAGTCGACGAAGAGCTTCTTGCAGACAGGACGCTATGGAAACAGTGCTGTCGCTTCAACCAGCAAACGACTCGTTTGTATTCATCAAATTTTTCAGTAGTTGACCACTTGGCTCTTTCGAATTTTTGATAGTTGAGGACGACACAAAATCTTCGAAAGACAAAAAGAGAATAAATTAATTGGTTTAAGTCAAACTATACGCCTTTCGCCCCCTGGTTTCTGTTGACAGCCTGGGTAAAGTGCTTGGCGCGTGGTTGCTGGATGAATCCGTAGCCTGGGTGTCGCTTCATCGCCAACGAAGGCGTGGGAGTCTGCGGGGTGCGTGGGATGCAGGCCGTGGGTGTCACGTTTAGACCCGATGACTGCGATGTCACCGTGTTGATCTGGTTGGGGTTGGACGAGTACACATCCATGAGGAAGTCCATGGACTCGTCGAAGTCCGGCACGGTAGGCTTGGCTTCGGCCTCCCACGACGCAGGGTAGGAGGCGTTTCCGATGAAGGCACTTAAAATGGTAGACGTGCTCAATTGGCTGAACTCCGAACTCACCATAGTCATTGAAGCTGACATAGGAGTCGAGGCGTAGGTGGTAGGGTGGTGGTGAAACGACGAACGGTGGATGGGCATAGCCGGTAGCGAAGTAGCACGCGCCAAAGGGATGGCTCTGGAGGTCATTGGGGCTGATACTATGTGAGCCGTACCCGGGGCTACGTAGCCCATGACGCCAGGGTGAGGAGTCTGCTGATAGACACGCGCGTGCACGTTCATGTAGGGGGAGACGTGTTGAGAGTAGCTCATTCCCGGGACCACACCAACTGTCATCGGTGGGCTCTGGAGGGTTCCGTTACGGTTGCGGAGACCGCGCATACGGCGCGCAAGCTTCTCCCGGTACTTCTGAGCGTGCGTCTGCGTTTGACGCACCGTACGGGTAGCCACCATCTCGGCAATGGCCTTCCATGGACCTTTAGGAAAAGTCTCCATAGCGCGTAGGAAACGTTCATGTTCAGCCTTAGTCCAGGTACCAGAAGCCTTGACGATTTCTCCATTGGCGTCGAACTGTTGCTGTTCACGATCGAGAGACTCGGCGACGCGAACGGTGCCGTCCTTGACGATTAAAAGATCCTTGGGGTCCAGCTCAATGATAGGAGGGAGGTCGTCCAAGATATCGTTAGCTGAGATGTTCCTGTCGTCGCTGTGTTGCTCAGCATTCTTGCTCTCTGTGTTGCTGTCGGGCTTGGAGTCGTGGGCGCGCACCTGATGCCGGTCTGCCATTCCGAAAGACATGAAAGCTCGCTGGTTGATTTGACTTGTGAGGTGAATGCTTGAGTGAACGGACTGACTCGCTGGGCGTCTGTCTGTCGTGTTGTGTTGAGACTTGATACTGTAGATTAGGTGAGCTACCGAAAAGTGCCGGACCAAAAGTGTCGGGCGGAGTCGGTTGTGTGTATGTTGGCAAAGAGTTTGTAAAACTGAGAACGTCGTTGGTTCTCCAGTAGTCAAATTCGAGAATGAGCAGCTCGGTGCGTGGTTCCCCCAGTCCTCTGTTTGTTTGCCCCTCTCCTGTGTCTGGTTGCAGTGGTGGCACAAACGCTAGACAGCCGTGATACTATCGCTGATAGCAGCGAGGCCGGCTGGCGACTGACTTGCGCCTCAGCAGGGCAAGCCGAGCTAGTTGCACTGTCTATGAGTTTGCTCCGACCCGCAAACGCTCGTTGCGTCGGACGATGCGTTCGTGAATTCGACGCGAGACGGGCAGGGACGACGCCCACTTAAAAGTGTTTCCAATCGAGTGTAGGAGGAAAGAGGAGGTGCCTCGTGCGGACAAAATCCAGCATTCGTAATGTCCGGAGCCGTTGATCCAATCAGCCGACGCACCGGCAAGCCCGGTCACGACGGACGTCAAGCGGGGACGAGCTTTTGACTGCCCTGCCTGCCGGAAAACAAGATGGCGCGCAAACATCTGATCTTGTGGCAGTGAAAATGTCGAAAGAGTACCACATTTCGTAACGATCGAGACGCATAGACAAGCCAAACGGTAACAACGAAACTATGCTGTATCATAGCAAGCATGCTAATTAAGAGTTGTCTTTGCTTGCAAAGGCAAATCTCACATATTTCTTTTATTGGGTACATGCTATTTACTAGTATTGTGCCCGTATCCTACGGCCATCACTGCCATCAGCATAGCTGAAGCAAAGTTGCCTTTTTGCATGAAGCAGTGTCGAACCTGTCCGGGTCGAATACCTCACTGGAAAAATGCGCACGTGGGCTGTGGGATATGTCGCGATCAGTAGCAGGCGCTCGTGGAGACATGCACGTGGTCTCTGCCGTGAAATGCTGGAGATGTAAGCGCCCACGCCGCGCTAATGTTTGATCGAGATGCTTGATCGACTTCGCTCGGCATCTGGAAGCTCCAGCTGGAGGCAAACTCTCTCTACTGAGCTTTTGGTCCACCTGGTGCTTCCCGCAGCTGGGATGAAAGATGCGGCGATTGCGTCCTCTTACAAAACTTGAACCAGCACGTGCTTCGCGGTGCAACCGCATCAAGCAAAAGCAACTACTTCCCATCGAACTTGCACAACAGCTTGGTCAACTTCCGATGCCTGTGCCGTTGACTAACGTACAAGAGTAGGAACAAAGCACATCCTTTCTGCCACTGCCATCAACTTGTTGAACTTGAAGGCTCTTGTTGCCACCTCGGAGTACCACGTTCGCGACCGAACGGCTTCAGCAAGTCCCTTCTTACTCCTTTGTATGCGAGCATCGGAAAAGCGGGGCGACAAGGTCCAGTCTTTGACGATCGTAAGCTCTCTGAAGCTCGACAACCGAGTCGTCCGAGTGTTTGAATGCCCTCTGTCATTGTTCGAACAGTTAGCAACACTAAATGCGGGAAGTCTTCGAGAAATCGCAGCAACCGCTGGACACGCTTCAAGGATAAGTCCAACAAAGCAACAACCGTGACTAACGCGTTGCTTGGGTGTTTTAGTCGGACCACAAGATCTCAAAAAACGAGTGCAAGTCTCTCATAATAGCTGCACCTCCTTGTCTTAAGATTTGGTCAAGTGTCGTGACGCATGCGTGGCCAACCGATCGAGCATTAGCCGGTTTAAAGTTCCCACGCAGTCCGCGACAAGTTCTACCATATTAATATGTAGCTAGTTGTAAGCAAAAAATCAACTACTAGAGCCGGAACTGCCAATGAGTTCACCCAACGGCTCGGTGTCCGTTGAAGACTCTATGCACTGACACGTCGGTCATCTCCTCTGCTTCTTTGCACACTGACCAACACTGTTTACAGTAAAGTATCTTTTCTTGCTGTAACTTCGTCTCACTTCGTGGTATCGACAATACAAAGTACTTGAATACATCTTGCGTGTTGGCTCTTGCTGCCTCCCACCCACCACATCTCTGACGTCGTAGCCTCAATGCCTTTACCTGGTCCAATGCAGATATGTAACCTGCAGCCCAGTCACTGCGTTGCCAGCCGTCGAATTTCAAAAATTTTAACGTCTTGAAGAGCTGCTTCTGTACTTGGTGGACCGCCAAATGCAGTCGCTTTCGGGGCGGTTTTCTCGGTGGAAAGCCAGTCGATGTGCTGACACGAGAAGCTCTGCGACAGGAGTTCAAAGAGCTGATGTTCCATCGGGTTGCGAGAGCGATGCGCCATGAGAATTCGCGTCTCAGAGGAGGTTGCGAGCGCTTCCAGCGATGTCACAAGCGGGGCGTATCCTTCTGGATCGTAGACGACATCCGAGAGCACGATCACGTCGGGTTGCAATGGCAGATCGCGCGGTGGATCTCCCCAAAGATGCGCTTGGGCAACGGGTAGTACAGCGCCTTTAGCAGCGCTATCCGCTGCCTCTTGAGGGTAGTTCAAGTGGATGTTGTAGTCTAGCAACGGAGTAACCTCCTATGTACACGCAGCAGGAAGCACAGGATGAGTACGTTTGAATCAAGTTGCAACAAGCCGGTGCCTTGCGTACCTCCAGGTCCGTCAAGGTAACCCGTGCACCGAGCAACGAACAGAAGATGCCCACGAGTCCGAGGCCACTGCCAAGCTCCACCACTCGTTTCCCGAAAAGAATCTCTCGTCGAGCTGCTAGATACCGCGTTAAGACGAGGCACGAGTCCCACAACTTGCCTCCGATACCTAGAATAACCACCCAGCTGTTAGTCACTGAGCTTACCCTCGGACAGTACGGCGTACGCTACGTACCAAGGTTTCCAGGAGACTCAGCAAGAAGAATGTCATGCTGTAGCCCAGGCATGGACACAGCTCGACAGCAGTGGACACCGAGATGTCCAGGATTTCCCTCTTTTAACGCTCCACCACGAGGGTGTACCGTAAACGGCAACGATACCACGGGGAACAAGTTCCACGTTTCGGTTGATGACTCGTGTGATCTGATTTCAAGGGCGAGAGGCTTCGAAGTGCTTGACAGTGATGATGCGTCTACAGTGACGACAGCGACGCGGAAGCTCGCCTTTCCGCGGCCGTTGAGTGTCAACTTGCCAATTGCATCGGCACTACCGAGATCGCCAGTATCCGACGGGTCCAAGGGCTCTTGGAACGTCAATTTGTATTTATTCTCAGTGTTGTGACGTAGAGAGCATTGCAGATAGATTTTCTCTCCATTTTTGACGTAGTCGCGTCGGAAGAGACCGAATTCATTGCCAATATTCACATTCACATTGAAAAACTGGTCTAGTGGAACTTGCGATGGTAGCAGACAGCTACGTTGGAAAAATAAAATAAAACCATGATTTAAAAAAAAGATAAAATAAGTGCTCGATATAATTTCTCCTGACGCACCCGAAATTGATTCGCAACTGCTGTTTGTCGTGCACCATTTTGCCCATCTGCTGGACCTCGCTGGCAGCCACCTCGCGGTCTCTGGCCAGGTTCTTGCGTAGTCGACGACGCGCTGCCACGCAGTATTGGAATGCGGCAGGCGCGCTCTTCTCTCCATTGTCCAGGACGTTATCCACCAGTTGCAACGCTGCTTCGAACCTCTCGAGGTTCTCCAACGCCACGAGTTTGCGCAGTAAAGCCTTCTCGTTCTTCGTGTTATATTTGAGTGCTAGCGTTGCGTCTAGAAGAGTGAGAATGTTAGTCCTCGTTAGTATTGAGGCTGATAATACGGAAAATGTCGGTGTAGTGGTTGCGACGGACCATGCAATGCCGCTGCGAAGTCGCGTTCCTGGATAGCAGTCTGCGCGCGGTTCGAGAGCAATTGCGAGGCCGTCACAGCCTCCCACGAGTCCGCGTTGATACCTCCAGATGCGCAAGATGATGTTCTTTCGTCTGCACTAGTCAGCAGCGAGATCCCCTTCGTGTAGATCGCACGGGCAGCGTCGTAGCGGCCGTCGGCGTAGAGCGCATTGCCCTCCACCTGCAGCTGCTTCACTTGCTCTTTCATTTTTGGCGAATAAGAGAGCGAGAAACGAAACCGCAGTTGGAGGGTTAGAGGATTTCGCTAAAAAGATACTTTTTTTTCGCTTGACGGGCAACTGATGTAGTACGAGCGTATGCATAAGCCTTAGCGCAACGGAAGCTATTCTGCATGTACTGGATCGCTGTAGCAGAGGTTGTGTACTTGACTTGTGTGCACATCGCTTCAATTTGCCAAAAGCTATTAGGTTGTGTGAGTTTTAAGTCCCCGTTTCTGCTTCAGTCTTTGTATTGTTGGTTTAGTATCTTGACCTGAAAGGTTCAAATGTACTGTCCGCGTGGCCTAATGGATAAGGCATCGCCCTCCGAAGGCGGGGATTGGGGGTTCGAGTCCCCTCGAGGACGTTATTTTGCAGCCTTAAAAACTAGCGATCATTTTGGTACGAGTCATGCAAGTGTTCGCCTAACTAAAAAAATGGCCAGTCAGTAACAGCGTACTTTTTAGAGTTGAAGAAGTTCATGCTCCGCAATGTTTTGTAAAAGCCTGCATTAGTCCCCCACATCCACCTCACGCAGCTCGAAAAACACCCATTTTAAATACTTTTTATTCAATGAAAAAATTCCCTACACCCCTTTCAAATACTACCTCCGTCCCACAAAAAATTAACGTTTGGTTCTAATGTGGTACCCATTAAAGTGTTAGAAGCATTGTATTGGTCAGCAGCTAATTGCTGGATTTTCATTATTCGCTTTAGGATTGCTGGAAAATGAGCTTACGATACGTTAAAGTTCCACTAAGTTCATTTTTAACTAGAATTTCAGATTACCGGTACCTTCGTGATATTTTTTTACAATCCGCTTAGATGCGTGGAGAAGCTAAATTTGTGATTAGGCCTCTCGAATTCCCAGCTGCGAAAACAAAACTTAAGAAGGCTCAGTTCATAAAGTGGGGCAAGGATTTTCCCGTCGCTCCCCAAAATCACCCTAATTATGACAGTGTAATCTTCCTCCGGTGGCTCGTTAGCGTAACGCAGCAAATACATAGCTGAAGCGCTCGTGACGAGCGTTCGAATAAATGTTTTGCGTGCTGATTGGGTGCGTAGACGACGCGCAATGACACAAATAGAAAGGTTAAGTGTTTTGTGGGACGGTGTGGTGGATGGTTGGTCTTTAGCCAGTTTCCACCCTCCGTTAGCTGATGATCACAGACTGAAGTCCTGGTGCAATCAGTGTCTCCTCAGCCAAGCAGTGCCTGACTCGATCAGCACTGTTTCATTGGTGACTTCGGAGCCAGTCACACTGGGTACGATGAAATTTTCAGGATTCTTGATAAAGCGGGGTACCAGAGATCCAAGAGGAATCTACTGGAAGCCATACATATTCCCTCTCGTGCTACCATCAGCAAGAAGACTTCGTACTTACAGTGAGAGCTATAGGCAGTGATGTTGGTCTAGAGCGCTCACTTACCTATTTACTAGCTACTGCGAAAGCAGCTCAATACGCTAGGCTACAAGTTTCCAGCGGGATCGCCACCTGCCCCGCCCTGTGTTTCCTGAACTGCCCATCCTCCGGAAAACAATACAGAAGGAGATAGTACGTCATGAGTGCTACCATACCCTCTTAAGTGGAGCCACCATCATGATGATCTACCGCAATTTGCAGTATAGCTTCGTGGTCACCAAGGAATGTTTCATGCGGATATCCGAGTCGCGCATTGCACGAGCGTGTCGAATGTTAGCACGCTGTCGAGAAAATACGCGGGGGGGCCTAAAGGAAATTAACATTAAAAGAGACTCTCCTGGCAACAGCACTGAAGAAACCTACCGTGAGCCAAGCCGAGCTGCACCCGAGGATGATGTGGCATTCGCTGGTGGGGTATTGCGAGGTCGACATGAAAACAAAACGCGCATGATAATAAAATATATATAATTATAATCGTATTTTGCAAAGCCTAATGAGATGGACATCCCTGCAGCAATCTCTATTCCCCTCGATGTGACAGAGGGCAAGTGCTGATGGCGTTCGGCGTCGTGACGATACCTGGATCATGCACGAGAAGCGTCATAGTAGCTCCCTAGGGCCACCGCCCTGGGTAAACCTGTACGAAAAGATATTTTGGCTACTAATCGTAATAGCGTTAAGCTAACAGTTTGATATAACCGCAAAATCAGATCCAGTCGGACAAGAACGACATTCAAACAACCTTATGTGTAGCCAAGTTTTACAAGTGGCAAAAACACTGCACAAAGTCTTAAGCTCCTACATTTACCAAGTAGTCTTATTGAAATGAACGTTTATCCTGGGAGGACAGCTAGAGGAGCTGTATGGACAGCCTCACACACATTAATTCGCTACAAAATTGTTGCCTGTAGCACAAGCAACTTTCAGATTACATCACGACACACAGGATCTACATAACGTAGTTCATCAATTGATGGACCTCAACCAAGTTCATGAGCCAATGCGCATATTGTCCAATAAGATCATTCTATATGTGCTTCACAGTATGCTATTGGCTATTCAATGCTTCTACCAGTTCATCACCCAGTAAATTGTTTCCCTCCCTAGTGCAAGATATAATCGCAGGGGGGGGAAGATGAAGACCGCCTTCACGGAGGCTCAGCTAGAGGAAGCAATTCAACGCGTTCTCGACGGTGCAACTCGGGTTGCTGTAGTTGTGTCGTCATCCGTATCGCTACTAACGCTTAAATGAAAAGTCCGTGCACGCAAGGAATGGCGCGAAGAAGGTCGCTAGCGCCCTGGACCTGTTCCAATGCTGCACCCTTAATGTGAAAACTAGTTCGTCACTTGGATTGCAGCAATGCAGCGCCAGCTTGTCACAATGCAACTATGGGAGGTAATCGAAGCCGCCAACAAGATCCACCACAAGATCCAAGGTAATCTACGCTCTGTTAAGGACTTAACATCAGGATGGTACAATCGGCTCATTGGGCGTCACCCGGAGCTATCTATGCGAGCCTCAGAATTTCTTTCGCGAGCTCGTAATGACGTTGATTTGGTGGCTGTACCTGACATGTTCAACACACTGATGAAGCTGGTCATCGAGCACAACCTAGACAGTAGTCTAGCCTGGAATATGGATGAGACCAGCTTCATCAGTAAGCATCAGTCGGGAGCTGTGCTAGCAGTACGCGGGTCTGCGAATGTGTGGACGGCGGCTAGTGAGACAACACTTCACCTGTCGGTTGTTGCTGCTATTAGTGACGAAGGACGTGCCGCAGCACCGCTCTACATTTTGCCAAACAAAAGTGTTCGTCGTACCGCACTAAACGGCTGTCAAATCCCAAATTCCGGAAGCGCCCAGGGGCTTTCTTTATGGTTGTATTTTTGAAATATGGATCGGTCATTTCGCTGGTGTGATCGGAAGTGAAATTTCTCGCCCAATCACTCTAGTATGCGATGGATGTTCGTCGCATATGGGTTCAAGGGGTTTCTTTAAGCAAAAGAACTCAAGATTATTTTTTTTTCTACCCCCGAGCGCAACACATCTAATACAACCACTGGGTATTGCTGGATTCAAGGTTTTAAAGGCTGATGTCCGCAAGATGCTGAAGTACGTGATCAAGTCGCCACCGGATCTCAAGATCTCAAAAAAGAGGTGGAGGCTACCGCTAGTTGAGCTTACAACAATTAACTGATTCAGGACATCAAAGCCATAATCAGTGAGCTTCGAACATGCGGGATTTTTCCGCTCTCGCTACCTAACATGCAGGCAAGATTCAGTAAATGCTGCAATAGAGGCATAGTGCGCAGCGAGCTTGGACTCGCTAACTGGTTGAGGATGCAAAGCAGCAAATCTTGGCACTTCCACCGTCGCCAGTACGCAAGGAGAGCTTTCAAAAGACAATTGACGCCAGCAGCAAAAGCTTACGCAAGCAAGCCTTGCTGGTGACGCCGCCTCGCAAGAAACGGGTGACTAGCGGTGGTGCTCAAGCTCCAGCTCTGGACTCGGTAGGCAGTACCAATAACGACGAGTCTGCCGTCCGGCCACTATTCGCTGTCGAGGTCGTGGAGAGCGCACTCGTCTGAATGTTAGTGTGGATGTTTGCATTGACACATGTAGCTCATCAACTGGTCAGCGTATAAGAAAAAGAAATTCTCCTCTACTTTGAGTTGGCGCAGCCGCAACAAAATACGTCAACAAGTGACATGGAGCGGTTGAAAAAATCTTTATCGTATACTGATTGGCTAGATACTACAATATTCGTTCCAGCTCAAAGATTTGAGTTACCACGAGCAATTTCCCATGAGATGCCCGCGGAGGGCCATGAATTAGTGAACTACGTTAGTTAAAAATTTGACGTGGGTTGCCTTGATTCTGACGACTGAGCGTGTTTAGCAAAGAAACAGAAACAAAGATGGAAATGTAGCAAACATTGTTCTACTATCCATACCCGTAACGATGTCGGCAAGCGGCACGAGCGATGATATATTAGTAATTTTCTTATCTAAAATTCTGCGACTTTCTAAGTGGATGTAGTGTTGTAAAGAGACAATTCGATTTTCTTACGAGTGCATAAAATAAAAAGAAGTGGGCGCGTACGAATCTGTATATCCACCGCTAAGACACAGTCTTGGGACCAAATTCGACCTTTTCGCTTCCATTTCCCGTACTTATAGCAAAGCGCATTGGGGAAAGTGGCTCTTATCTGAACAGCTTGATTGGGTACATAATTATTTGGTCAGGAAGCGTGAAATGGTCCAAAGACACCAAGAAAACTCCAAAACACGGTTAGCTGGACGAGTTTGTGGAGTGGCTGCTTTGATGTGCTAAGCAGAGATCGGAAAAAATTCTGTATTGTATTGGTGGCAAAGTTTTGCCGTAATAAAATTCGAATATGAGCACTTTCAATTAAAAAGATTGCCGTAATTTAAATATATTGGGTCAATATCTAGCTACGTCTTGCCCTGTCGTGTACTCTTGCATTAGCCGTGATCCCCGTGAGTATGCTGGCCCGATAGTCAACTGGCAAAGCCACGCCAAGCTCCTTAAAATTAAAAGTCGTTATCATGTTCTGTGGTAGGTCTGACGACGGCTACCAGGTTAATTATTGAAACCCCACCCAAGCAACTAAATAGTAGTCGTGCCCGTCGTGACTAGTTTTCTTATTGTATATTTTATCTGCAACATATAAGTCGGGGCAATCTTCGAATTCTGAAGTTTCATCTTCTGAGTCCGTGTTATCCTGGAGAGCCTCCAAGAAAGGCCAGCACCAGGGCTATTCAGCGGCTCCCTTCTCCAGTTCCTTAAAACTTTGCTCCAGGTTGTCAGGTAGACTCGTTTTTTTTTATCTTCTTCTGTCGTTTGGCGCTAGCAAGCGCGTGTAGTTGCGTGTTTCGTTTGGTTTTACGTGGCATTGCCGGCAAGTCTGAAATGTAGTTGATAAAGATTTATTTTAAGAGTAACAGAGTCCACAAGGAATAAAAGGTGTTTAGTGATAATAGAGCAAATCAAGCACAGTATTTATTCGCTTTGTTACTTGGTCACATCCGCTACAGTACTAACACCCCACATATCGCGGCTAACACGGAGGAACCCCAGCTCCTCGAAGTTGGCGGTGTCCATGGAGCGGCGCTGTGGTGTCAATACTAGCTTGCACTGGAAAAATAGCCGTTCAACGATGTTGGAAGTTGCCGGAATCATCTTCACCAGAAGCAAATACCATGTCATGCGTGGCGTCGTGCTTGCGCTTCTTTCATCCGCTTCTTAGAAGCTGCGAAGTGTAGTCTTCTTCTCCCTCTTTGCGCTTCTTACCTGCTAATTGTGATGCCTCGAATCGTGTTTATTCATAAAGCCTTCGCTGAAGCCAGTAAATATTAATTGATAACTTTCACAATTGCTGTCTCAAAATCCGGCTGGAGCACAATTTTCGCTGTTTCCTTCAGAAGTTCTCCCATAACAGAATAGTCAGTCACAAGTGCGTCAAACATCACTCGCACCTCGGCGATATCCGTTTCATCTCGCTGTAATCGTGGACAGATGCTTTCAAACTTCTTCATATGTTCGAAGAGATCAAGAATTTTCCTGTGCTTCGCGCCGGTCGGGATAAGCTCTTCAACAGTTACCACCTTTTTGATCTCAGCTCGGATTCGAGTATACCGCTGCACCATTGTAATTGTGGATGACCAGCGAGTCACGTTCCGCTTTACTGGAAGAAGTTCTGTGTGTGTTTTAAGCTCAGCGTAGTTGTTTTCGTGGCGTAGCTCGACCATAAGGTCGCTTACTTTAGAGAGCAACGACTCATGCGGGGCCAGATACTTGCTCACAGCGAGGTTAAGTCGGTGGCTTGCACACTCAGCAAGTGCAACGCATAGCTTATTCGCGACTGACTGGTTGGTGTTACAGTTGTCTCCTACCAGGAAGTCCACCATGTCCTTTGTCTTGTCATAAATGTCCAGGATGTTTTCAAACAGCTGTGCATGTTCGTGTGCTGTCTGAGATCCATCTGCCACAGGGGACATACCCAGGAGAGGCACGCGAAGCTTCCCATCTGCTTCGTAAACAGCGAAAAGCGTGACATAGTGCACCCCGGCGTGTGACCATACATCAAACACGAGACCGAAGAGCGCTTCCAATTCCTTCTCAACCTTTTGACCGACTTTGATTGCCAGTCCTTCGAGACACTTCTTCACAGCTTATAATAAACCAGGCCGTAACTTGCTCATGGCTCTTGTGAGAGCGTCTTCAACTTCGTGAATTGGCATGTTCCTCATGACAACCCACTAAATCCACTGGAACAGATGACTAGCTCCTTCAGATACGAAGCCGTATAATTGAAGTGAGCGACCCGAACTGCTCTCGAACGAAGTGTAATACCCCGCATGTTTCGCGTCCAGATGCGACTTGAGATTAGAGTACCCTGTCCCTCTAGCTTGTTTCCGCTCGTTGCTGCAAATATTGCAGCAAAACAGCCCTTGATCTAGTGACGTGAAGAAGTAGGCAGCGATTTGCTTGTTTAGGACCATCGTAGCTCGAAAATGAAGTGAAGTTTGAGTTGTATCTAGCAACTATCGTAGCTTACCAGACACTCCGGTTTCATGTTGGCGTGGAAATGGTGTGGTAGACAGCGAAATCGATGTCATCGGATCTGATTGGTGATGTCATATCGAAACAATTAGACGGGTCCTACCAAGGAACATTTTGCCATATTTGTTGTCAATAATTGGTCCAATACCATATTGTATTGATCAGGTCAACAGCCAATAATACAAATTTATATTGCAAACCCAATAATTTATTGAATCGCAATTGTTTTTCGACCTCTGGTGCTAAGAGAAAAGATTACAACGTTTTGCGTTTGCAAGCAAGTCTAAAGCTTCGTTCGCATTTTGGCTTCTGTACACACCTATAGCAGGCTGTACATGTACGAGTGGCAAGCATAGAGCTTAATAATCGCCCTTCAAGAAATACTATTTTATCAATATTGCGTTAGGTAAGGTACAAACTGCTCGTGAACCCGACATGGGTAGGTTTCATCGACGAAAAAAATCGCTTACTTGCATTGTACTTCGATCCCTGCATGAGTACATCTCATTTCGCTCTCAACGGTGTCCTAGTGAGCTGATCAAAGTCAATGGTTGTAACGGGGTACAATCCAGTGTACATAAAGAGTGACCCGTCACTATTGTGGATACCTGGTACACGGTACCAGGTGCTCTCGGAACCAGTCAGTGCATGACTACTTAGCTCCACTATAGGTAACCTCTAGTTTGTATGAGACCCAAGCTTATCTTACTTATAAATACATCAGTCTTAAATCTACTCCTCTAAGTAGCAAATCGTTCCCACTGAGGCCGGGAACACGTGGACTTACGTTCACTCGGGTAATTAATACCCTTAAGCACTTCCTCTGTGCAAGGTGCTGTGTGACCCCGTCACACTTAGTAGCACTCATCGTCAATCCAACACCATCGCGGGTAGATTGAGCTACCTGAATCCTCTGTGCGCCCAACGTTTGAGCCAAGATGGACCGAAGCGAGTTTCCTCGCTTGAACGACTCACAGTACGAGTCTGTTCTGAAGATGGGAGGCATCTTTGGACAAGATGTCCTTCGCAGCTTGGCGGCGGTGACGCCTGCCGAGCAACAAGAGCGAGTGACCGCGTTTGAGACCTACGAGCGTGGTCTCATCGCTCACGTTCGCGGGAGCTTGAAGGCCACGATGGCCGCTCCCCAAGCAACCAGGCCTAAGCCGGTTTGGCTGAAGGTCCCCGCGTTTGAGGGGAAGGAAGGAGAGAACCTTCACTTCTGGGTCCGTGAGTGAAGATCGCAATGAAGGCGGGTCTCATCTCGGACGAGCCAGTTCGGGTGGCGTTTGCCCTGGCCAACCTTGGTGGCCGTGCCAAGCACTGGGCATACACCAGGGAGACGATATCTCCTGGATGCTTTGCATCCTGGGCTCAGCTGTGTGAGCAGCTTCGATCCGCGTTCCTACCGGCGAGCAACGAGTTCTGCCAGCGCTCACGCTTTCTCGCGTGTAAGCAAGGTAAACGTAAGCTGCAGGAGTACGCGCAAGAGATGCGCACGTTGGTGGCATCTCTGGCAGGGAATCCTCTGCCTGAAGACGTTAAGACAACAGTCTTCATGGACGGCCTGAAGGTCGGTCCTGCTCGCACCCAGCTATTCCGGGTGCAAGCGCAACTATGGAGGAGGCGATTCGAATCGCCCTCCAAGAAGAGTACAGCCACAAGCAGGCTGGTACTCCTCGGGAAGAGGAACATCGCCACGATGAGAATGGCGTTCCTCGGGAGGCGGAGCATCGAAGCAATGACGCTGTTGCTCCTGCTGTCACGCAGCCCGTTGATACCAATGCGTACAGCGAGCCCGAACCCATGGACTTAAGCTCAGCCGAGAGCTTGGTCCGCTGCTATGGATGCGGCGGACATGGACACTACCAGCGTGTGTGTCCCTCGCTAGTCCTCGGGAAGAAGACAGCCCGTAGACTCGAAGTCCGGTGGCGCAGGCCACGGCCAGGTGGACGAAGACGCCCCGGCCACCAGTAGAGGCGGTACTCTACTGAAGAGCACTAAG